CCGTGGAGGTCGAGAAGAGCGGTCCGGTGTGGGCCGAAGACGGGTTAGCTGTCGCCACTCCTCCAGCAGCAGGCTTGATAAAACATCTTCGACGCGAAAGCTGGGCTGAGGTCTCCCCAGCAGGAGAATCGATGCGACGCCTCTGGTGCAAGGTCTTCCCAGCGGGAGAATCACTGCGGTGCCTCTGACGCGATGGCTGCGTGGGCGTCCTCCTGGCACTTCGAGTAAGCATCGCATTGGGCAAGCGACCCCAGGGGCGTAGAGATACCACACCTCCTCGAGCCGACGCAGACCACCTGCCGAATGAGGATTAGTAAGCATCACCCGCGCTCAATAAAACAAGGAAGTCTGAGTCATTACCTGGAGTATCAGGCGTCACACGAGACGGGAGGATGAGAGAGCTTGCCATGATGCTTGTTGGCGAGAGCAAGAAGTCAAAAGACCTAAACCGCTTGTCTAGCACGAGCAGCCGGTTCAGTTTGACCTGTTCGAAGGCAGACGTTGCCACAAAACCTGGAAATGCGAAGGGCACCGGTCAGAGACTAGGGCGAGCGACGTGAGTAAGTGCAAAGGAGCGAGAATACCTCGAGGGCGCCAGGTTAGCGGGACATTGACGTCCGCCAGTACCGTCCAGAAGATGTACCTCTCCCTCCAGTCGCGGCTCCTGGATCGATCCCCAAAGATGGGTATGCTGCAGCCGTCTTGGGTGTGCAGAGTGTAGCGAAACACATCGACGGTGAGGTTGTGAAGCTGGTAAGACAGCAGCACCGTAGAGCCGCGCACAGGGACCTCAGATAGGTCAGAGAGTACATGGTAGCCGCAAAGAATCCCCTACTCTGAGGGATGGAGCTGATTGGAGCAGATGCTGGCAAGACGGCAGAAGTCGACCAAAATCCAGGGAAGGCTATCCTGGAAGCTGTAGATGATGTAATCATCGTGGATCGCCAAGAAGTAGCGCGGCGGGCGATCCGCTTGATATTCCCCATCAGGAAAGAAGGGGGCAAGGCCGGAAGAGGGGGTGGAGGGTCGTTCGCCCTCAGGACCCTCTCCAGGGAGTCTGGAGTGCATACAAATGGAGGCCGGTCGCAGAGTGAAAAGGCTGAAGGCGTCCCGGCTATGCTCTCGACCTCGTCCCCAGACCACAAGAATCCTGCATTTCACTCACCGGACAAAGAACTCGCTGAAGACATCTCTATTGAACGAGAAGAGAGATGAGAGGCAAAAAGATTGGAAGAGCAAGTAAGGAATTAGCGGATTGCTTCAGAAAAGGAACGAGACCAAAAAGCGTGGATTCTATAGAATTTATAGGAAAAGAAAGAGAACGAATCAATGCGCGTGAGAAGTCGCGTCGCTCAAGGAAAGCCAAGAGTCGACGGCGCAACCGTAATTTAAAATTTCTTAAGTCATCCGTTGGAAGTGATGCGCATTCAATGAAGAGAGAGACGGGCGTCCCATCACAACAGCAAAAGCAACCGCCAGTTCACGGGAAGCAAGGCATTTTATTCGACATGACGCGCCGCTCTCCAGATCGTAGGAGTTCGACTTGTGGAACGCATTCATCCTACATTTGAATCCGACCCAGAGAAGGCCCAAATAATGACTTTCGGTTCTGCTGAAGTCGATGCAAACCGACTGCCGAACGGTCACAACGGTATGAAACTCGCGCCTTTACAGGAAAACTGCCAACCACCGGCAAGCGGGTTGCACAAAGTCATTGTGCGCAGGTCAAACATATCCGCCCAGGTATCTCATGTTTCATGGTGGGTTATATAGAACCTGTGACCGTAGACAAAATGTGGCCGTCTCATAAACAGTTTCAGCTTACGAATGGTCCGCAAAGTTGCATCGTCCTCGCTTACATAACAATTTAATTTCTTGCTTGCGTGACTGTGTGATTTCTTGCTTGCATGACTGTGTAATTTTTTGCTTGCATGATTGTGTGATTCCTTTCTTGCATGACTGTGTGATTCCTTGCTTGCATGACCATTTAATTTCATGCTTGCATGACTGTGCAATTTCTTGCTTGCATGACCATTTAATTTATTGCTTGCGTGACTGTGTGATTCTTTGCTTGCATGATTGTGTGGTTTCTTGCTTCCATGACTATGTGATTTATTGCTTGCATAACTGTGTGATTCCTTGCTTGCGTGACTGTGTGGTTTTTTGCTTGCATGACTCTGTGATTTCTTGCTTGCATAATTGTGTGATTTCTTGCTTGCATCGTTGTGTGGTTGGGTGACTGCATTAATGTATGTTTTCTCGCTTGTGCGACGGTAAATCCTTTCTCGTTTACGCATCGCCGATTTTCACCCTTCAGCCCATAAAACTCATTTCAAAGAAATAAACCATTTTTCTAACATGCTCCCTTGCAGACTTACTTATCCTCTCGGACACCATTCCTCCAGGAATTCAGGGCTTCAGTCCAGCAGACCCCTGTGGCTCTTCCTGCGCCCGCTCCCTCCGGGGATAGTGTGTACCTCAAGCATGCTCTTCCGCGGACTTGCTCGCCCTCCACGGCACCCCTCCTCCGGGAACCTGAGGCTTCAGCCCTGCACACCCCTCGGTCTTCCATGCATTTCCCCTCTAGTGGGCCGTGCGATAAAACAGCGCGCTCCTCCCAAGGACACGCTCACCACTCAGGCACCACAGGAAATGAGGTCGCCTACTCATAGGCTTTCTCTTCTTGATGCATTCCCTGACCTCTTCCCTCGAGGTATGTCATAAGCAAGATTTTAAAATCCAGAAACTTCTGCGTAAGCACAACGCAAAGACAATCCAGGCAGTAAGGGAGTCGAGGTACCACCCTTGGAAAACGTCCTGCTCTGCACCAGCTGCACTCGAGTAACGACTCTCCCTTGCGTTAGCGTCCCGTGATGCAGGGAATATCTATTCACCCGTCTAGCAGCGCCACCCCTGGCCCTTGGGCCAGTGTCTGAGACCGCGTTGTTGTCTTATGTCGATCCCCATGGTCATATAAGACTATAACCTCTCTCTCATGATCCCAGTTGAAGGGGGCAAGACGGCTACTTGTCTAGTGCGTCACGAAACAAGATGTCCACCAGTGGCCAAGCTATCAGTTCCTGCGGGAGCACCAATCCTCCTATCCTGAGCAAGTATCGTACACCCCTGGATGCGTATCTCAGTCAAGGTATGACCCAATCACCTAACTCCTACGTTCCATGGAAGCGCTGCCGGTGAGACATTTCTCGCTTCGGAAGCGGAAGCGGAAGTGGAAGCGCTCGAAATCGTGCAGAATTGTCTTGGAAGCGCGATTCCAAAGATGAGGCATTTGGCCGCGTGGCGGAAGCGAGCGATTCTGAATCCGAAGCGTAGCCGGTGTTGATCGGAAGCGTTGGCCATGTTAAGTTAAAATAAAACACAAATTAATATCTGTTTTTGGGTTTGTAAATTGTTAAGTGGCCCATTAGCCACTTTGTTTAAAAACTAAAAACTAAAAAATCTAATTATGAATTTACAATCAAAAGTTACGAGATTAGAAGTATAGATTGCAGAACTTAAAAGTCGACCTCTGATTTTCATTCTGATTGTGACCTAGAACGAAGATAATTACGATATTAAAATTATGTATTGAATTTTTTATTTCAAACTTTTCTTATTATTATGATTTTATATTTGGTATTTAGTATTTACACATAATATATATATATATATATATATATATATGTTTCTAATACATACCCCCTTCCTCTTTTTTAAAAAAAACTCGCTTCCGCTTCCGCGTACCCGCTTCTGATTCTATGCAGCTTAGCCTAACTCCCCCGGCTGACGATGTACTCCTTCGGATGCGTGGCGAAGATGGGGCGAGTCTCTTATTATATTTAGTCTGACCGTCTCATGGGTCGCTTCCTCCATAAGTGTAATTCCTTTGATCAATAATGTGCTCCTCCGAGACATACAAATAAGTTCGGAGTTGATATCTTTCTTTCGATCTTACGACTAGAACCGCACTCCTTCGTGATGTATGACAGGGTCGGAGTCTATGCTGTTTTCCTTACTTCTCTTAAAGTCCAGACTCCCCAACCAGTACCATATTCCATCAGAATACGTGGTACGGTTTGGGTGAGTCCCTATTCGCCTAGACTGGTACCGTATTCGTCGAGATACGCGGCAAGGTTGTCGCATCGGTCTTGCTTTTGATAGCAGAACTCTATAGAACAAGATAACTTATGCTGATTGTGCAGGAAACCCAAAGGATGTCGACTCCACGACTCATTTCCCAATCAGTTGGAAAGTCGGGGGCAACTGTTGGGATCGATTTTACCATCTCCAAGGATAACGCGATACGTGGACAACGAACCATCCTAAACACTGACATGGTTAACAACTCCAAAGCACTGTTCCCGGGCAGTTGGCGCATTTCTCAGAACACGCATGCATTACTTGCGGCTGCAGCTATAACCTGCGGCTATGTATTTTAAATTGTTATTTGTTTGGTTGTCGCAGGTACTTGTGGCTGCGGCTATAACCTGCGGCTGCAGCTACAAAACGAATAAAAATTTGTTATTGCGACAACGGTTGCAAAACAAACAACAATCTGCAACTATAACCTGCGATTGCGACTGCAAAAGGAACAACAACCTGCGACAATATTATCGTTGCTGTTATCACTACCATCGCCGCAATCACATGGGATAACCAAACGAATAGGCCCAATATAACTCTGTGATAATACCAAATAATACATTTTAGTAATTGTTACATTTTTATATATTATATACTACATGATAATATTATACACGATAATTTCTTTTTACTATATATATTATATTATCTTAACATATTTATTAAATTTTCTTTCCATAAATAAAGATTAACATAGATTTGATCTTATTATCAGCAATGTTATTAAAAAATGATTATTTTAAAATTGGATTATAAACTTTCATTAAAGATATAAAGTTAAAAAAATCGTTGAGAATAAAATATAAATACGACACGTCTGATTTTTACTTCGTAAATAATAGTATAGATATGATTAGGGGTATCTTCCCAAGTGTTTTCTTAAGGTTAAATGCTAATAGAAGGAATAGAGATACCAATTAATTAATTAATTAATTCTCCTAATTGTAAAAGAACAGGCAAAGTTGGTGACGGCGGTGGATTCTGGCTCTTGCTCGCGGCGCCAAGCATAAACATCTCAGATCTCCCTTTCTCTCTCACCTTTTCTCGTTTTTCTCTGATAATTTCGCAGAAAGTTAAAAAAATTTGCTCATCTCTCTCACCTATGGAGTATATTACGATGAAGAACGATGAAATACAGGAAGAAATCCCCGATAAGTTTCTCTGCTGCGTTTGCCTGTAAGCATTTGTAATCTCATCCGTTTTTCTGGGTCTTTACCCTAATCGAGTAGCTGATTTTAGGTTTATTTTAGGGGAAATCGAATGGGTTTTTCGCATTTTGTGTTGAACATTAGGGATTATAGCAGCTAATTCGAAAAAAAAAAAAAAATCTCATTGTAGATTTGCTTTCGTTGTTTTTGAAGATGTCGTGATTGTGGAATCCTTAGTCAATGTTCTGTAGTTGATTTAGTTGCTTCTACAGTTTCAAGATTGTGGTTTTCCTAATCTAAGTATGTATCTGAATCGTTTCCAATATGAAAAAATATGATCTTTTGAAACAAGGAATGTCTAAGACGGCACTAATCAATTGAAATGGGACTTTGTGTTGCTTCTTTGTGCAGGGATCTTCTTTACAAACCAATTGTGCTATGTAAGTTGTTTTATAGTCTCAGGACAATCGCAACTATTCTCTCTTTCGACTCTTTTGTTCTGTTTAGGGTCTTAGGTTCTACTTAATGAGTCTCTTGGAATTGCAATTGCAGCTTGTGGTCACCTATCATGTTTTTGGTGCGTCCACAAATCCATGCATGGCCTGTTTAAGTCTCAGTGTCCCATTTGTAGAGACCCGTATGCTCACTTTTCAAGTGTCTGCCAAAAGCTTCATTTTCTGCTAAAGAAGATTTATCCAGATGCTTATAAGAAGAGAGAAGCAGAAGTTCTAAGTGAGTTCTTTGTTTACATTTCCTCTATGAACTTTCTTTATTGAAATTGTGGTTTGTTATAGGTGTGGCTTTTGTTGATTATGGTTTGTTAATGTTCATGTTTCAGAGGATGAACAAGAAATGGCTTGTTTTTCTCCTCAGATTGATGAACCAAAGGCTATTGATGAGTCTGTATGTAGTGAAGGTTCTCAAGTTGTCTCTGGTGAGTTTACCACACACATTAGATCTCTGAGTTTTGAAACTTTTTGCTATTCTATGAAATTGATCTATTGCGATTCTATGTGTTTAGATAAGCGGAAGGTGGAAGAAGAGCGCTCTAATGCAGCGAATGAAGAACACAAAGATGCAAAAATTCTTGAGAATGTCTTACCTAAGAATAATGAAGTCAGTAAGCAAATTTCAAAAGACGATTTGCTCTGTTTAGCGTGTAAGGAGCTGCTTGTGCGGCCCGTAGTTCTCAATTGCGGACATGGTATCATCATCATCTTACATGTTTGCTTTTTGAACAAGTGTCTTCTTAACTTTCACAGCTGCTTTAGAGTTATCTTATGTGCTTCTTTTTTTTTTTCCAGTGTATTGCGAAGGATGTGTAGTAGACATGGTTGGAGAAAGCGAGAAGATCAGATGTCAAGAGTGTCATATTTGTGACCCGAGAGAATTTCCAAAAGTCTGTTTGTTTCTTGAGCAGCTTTTGGTAGAAAACTTCCCTGAAGAATACGATTTAAGGAAGAGTGGGATTCACAAAACTCTTGCCCATTATAGCAAAGGAAGTAAGTTCTACATCCATGCCTTTGTCATCTCCTTGTGCTCTCAAAGCTTAGTTCTTGCTAGTGCCCTGAAAGCTTAGTTCTTGTTGTAATCGATTCACCATTATATCTAGATTCTCAAAGCCATCACAAAGAAGGGACATCCTTATCAGAGGACAACAACAACCGCAACGACGACAGTGATGTTCCCTATTTGGTAAACCCTGCATCTTATGTTCACAGAGGTGTCGGTTGTGATTCTTGCGGAGTAAGTAAAACCGAATGTTATTAGTAACCTAAAGCCACAAACATATGAAGGATCTCTGAATGGTATAGGTGAAGTGACATTTGATTGTGGTTTTTGGCATTTCCAGGTGTATCCAATCATAGGTGATCGATACAGATGCAAAGACTGCAAGGAGATGATAGGCTATGACCTATGCAAAGACTGTTACGAGTCTCCTTCGAAAATTCCAGGGAGATTTAACCAGCAACACACTCCAGATCACAGGCTCGAGCTCGTTGCTGTGCGTGTGATTGTGATCAATGGTGATTCTATGGGTTTGGTTGTAGGACCCAACTCTGCAAATACTGTCATGGTTGTAGAAGAAGATGATGATGAGAGCGACGAAGAGCCTCATGATGCTAATGAGTCACCATCATCAAGCACAGAATGAAATAGCAGTCTTGAGAGTTTATTTGGAATCTGAGAGAGAGAGAGAGAGAGAGACATGGTGTGTGCTTGTTTGTGTCTGTATATTTATTTACAAAACAAATCTGTGTTTTTTTAAACGATTTAGACAAAGTTCGTTTGTTTAATTATAAACTTACAACGCAAACAAATACAATTTCTTGTTTTTGAATCTCGTTGCTCATGTGTAAAAAGTCAGAGAATTAGGGTTTGTGGGTTTAAAAAAAGATCTTTTATTAGAATGAGTCGGAGTTTGATTGGATACACGGTGGTTTAGTGGTTTAGGTTGGCATTTTTAAAGTAAAGTGAATGGAGAGTTAGAATAATAAGATTGCTTAGTTTGTCCTAGATCTCGAGAGAGTATTTTTGAATGATCTGAGAAGTCGAGGACTTCGTATTTATAGCCGATCAGGTCGGTTTTCTATGTCTGTTTAGAATAGGAAAATCTTCTTGCCGATAAGACTCAACTTCCGTTTTTCCCAGGTTCGTTTGATAAATAGAAGATTTCCATTTATTTGGCCGACCTGAATCTTGTAAGATGGGTCGACCAGAATTCATATCGGGTCTTTAGAGATGGTACGAATCTCATCTCTAAAAGTAAGCCCCTCCTAGTTCGGCAAGTGAGGATACGCTAGTTGGCGGATTTCAAGGTATTGCTCGATATGGATTCTGGTCGGCTGTCCAAAGAGTTAGAATATAAAAACAAATTTTACCTTCAATTCTTGATCGGCACGATGACGAGGGTCAGATAGTGAGTCTAGGCGCGTGAAGTTCCTGCCAAAAGTAATGTAGACTAGGTCTAGGTCTGCGCATGCAAAACTAGACTTGACACGTGTCAAACATGAGAAGAGGAGAGCGAAGAGGCCGATTAAAATAAAATGAGAAAAAATACGAAAGGTCGCCGAGCTCATGATGACTCTCGATAACCATCCTCATTTCCGTATAAATAAGAGGGGTTCAACTCTCATATTTTCACTTCTGCATTTCAGCGAAACTCTGTCAAAAAGTTTGCTCTCTTCTCTCTCCTCTCTGTTCTTCATTTTTATATTTTTTTATTAGACCTCCACCGCATTTTGTTCGATCTCCGCCGCGTGATTTCTCCGACCAGCCTGAAGCCGCCGTTGATACTCCGATCTATAATGAGTAAGAGTTTGATCATCAGAGAAAGCCGATCTGAATCAGAGAAGAACAGATCGGCCAAGCGAGAGCCAATGAGATCGGTGTCTCATTAGAGGAATTTTTAGAGATGTCCCGAGCCGACCAGACTGCAAAGGGTGGATCGAAAGGAAAGCAGGTCGTCATCGATGAGCCAGGATCAGATCACTCATCGGATGCAAGCGAGCTCTCAGCACTCGATCGAGCATTCCAGGAATTCGGGAGAAGAACCAGCAGGCAGCAGCTGATCGATTTCATGCCGACCAGGTTAGAGCCGTCCAAAGGTCTGATGAAACATCGTTTAGGGTCGAATTTGAGATTCCCGAATTACAAGACGAAGGCGACGAGAGAGGGGGATCGAATGAGATGGACATCTCAGACGAACTGAATGCAATCATGAAGTAAATCAATTCGGCATCATTGATATGAATCCCTCGGTGAAGAAGGCCAAGAAGCGAAAAGGGGAGGAACTGATTAAGCCGATCTGTGATAACGCCTTGGGAGTGATGCCGACCAAGTCGACCATGGAGTCATTGGTCACCCTAAAAGAGGAGTGCGATATAGGTCCGGAGGTGATTTTTATGGTTCTGAGCCCTTCTGAACGGCCATGGGATGCTCCAGCGGGGTGGTTCCGCATATACGAGTGCTTTCTCAGGGATTTTAATCTCTGGTTTCCCTTGCCGAGTCTGCGGTTGGAATTTGCTGATCATAAAGAGATGCCGATCTCGCAATTCTCCCATTCGACGATTCGCCTGATCGTCAGTATGCTGGTGATGTCGATCAGGCACAACATTCCTCTTAGCCGTGTTGCGTTCGATGCAATGACGAACACCAGGAGAACCAAGGAAAAATTAAGGAACCGAGGCTCGTATTATACAAGCATGAAGACTCGGTTCAATATTGTTACTGGTGGGCAGAAATCGAAGGTCAACGACTGGGGGGATCGTTAATTTTTTGTACTAATCAATGAGTTCTCCATCGACAACCGAGACATCAAAATTCGAACAAAATGGGCAGAGGTCATGGGTAGAGACGCACCCGCTCTGAAAGTCTGTAGAAAATTGCGCATATTTTAATTTTTCTGATCGATCTCTTTGTCTTTTGCAAGTAACAGGCATCTTCCGATCGTCGACGACCCGCTCGATATATACGAGGTCTCCGAATGGTTCACAGCAATTAATACGATTATCTGGCCTGAGATCACCGAGGAAAGGATCAAAAGAACAAATGGTTGGTTCGATTGTTTTCGACTTGTTTTTTTTTTATTTCAAGTTAGAGCATCAGGTTGGCTAACAACTTTTAACTTTTCAGCTGCCCTTCTTCACCACCAAAACCAACCAGAAAAGATGAGATCACGCTCATTCAAAGATCTATCTGCCGACCTGGAATCGATGTTCGAGTCTCCGGATGCTAAGGAGGCTCAAAGTCCTACATCGACAGTGCCTTCGGGAGAGCACGATGCACCGGTCATCTCAAAAGACGGTTCTGGAGGCGATTTGGCCAAGGCCAAAGCGACAGCCGACAGGAAAGTCGAGAAGGATTGGCAAGGGCCAGGAAATCGGCCTATAAGAGAGCTGCCAAAAAGGCAGAGAAGTCCCAAAAGAGGCCCGACCTGGAAGGGCGCGCGAATGAAGGCACGCAAGACACAGGAGACATGCCCGAAGACACGCAGCGGTCGAAGAGACTTTGCATCGATCGGGAGCTTCATCCGTTCGGGTTTTCTTTCGACTATCGAGGAAACGGCCCATTGGTGTCCGACCCCTTCTCCTGCCTTGACTACTTCCTTAGGTTGAAGGATCATCCGGCTCTTCCTTCAACGGACCCCCAGAGCTTAATCTGGAGCGACGCGGTCGCGCAATTTGCTAGTGATCAAGCTAAGGTAAGCCATTTTTAGACGCTCTGTTTCCAGACTCGACGATGTAAATTAGAGACTGATCCTTAGAATTACTCTGTATTCTTTCAGGCTCTGAGTACCGCACTATTAGTCATGTGCGAATATGACTGTGACGCCAAGAAGTGTCAGGTCGATCAGGCCGAAAGGGAAGCTGTCAAGGAAGCTCTCGAGGCTGAGAGGAAGAGAAAAGCCGAGCTGGAAGTTGCGCTCCAAGAGTCTTCAGAGGAACTTGCAAAGATTCGTGCTGAGAACTCGGAGAAGACCTGGCTTCTCAATCGAGCCGTGAGACAGATCACGAGGGAAAGAGAGAAAGCCCAAGAGAGGCTCGATGCCGAGTTAAAAAAGGCCCATAAGGATAAAGTCGCCTTTGGCGAATAAACGGCCACGCATGTAGCCGCCAAGGTGAATGGCCATTATACCGGTCTGGTGGCTAAGATCAAAGAATCCCTCTCTCGAAAGGAGAAAGCTCAAGAATTACTATCGACTGCAGCTCAGTGGGTCGGTGCGAAGAGGGCTCTCGGTATAGTTCGTAAGCAAGGCTATAACTTCTCGGCTCTAGTCGAGGAAAACGTGGAGAAGATGATTGCGGACAGCAAGGCGCAACAGGATGCCTTCGAAGAAGTCACTTTCATGCTCGGGGAGCTCGATGTTCCAAGTATGGACTTCTTCTTGAGTGATATCCTGTCATCCGCGGATGGTTTGGCGATCGCAACAATTAAGCCCGAGAAGACCAAGTCTCTTGATGAAGTCGAGCAAGAGAAGGAGCTGGAGCTCGAGGATGAGGCCGAGCAGAGGGAAAGTAAGGAAGCCGATCAAGCTGACGGCCAGAGTGACAACCCTGAAGAGGAAGAAGAGATCAGGGACGACGACTAGATTGATGGTCATGTAGAATGAATTTTATTTTCTAAATATTTTGTAATAGCGAGTATGATGTAATCGTATGCCGTTTTGGCTTTTGAAACAATGAAATGACGGGTTTTTTATACTAAAAATCTGAACATAAACTGCGAAATGATATCGGCTTAAATTCGTTTATACGATTAAATTTCTAAGCACGAAGTGAATAAGCGAGCGAGGTCGGCTTGTATTTAATACTTAGAAATTTTCTTAAGTCGAATGCAAGATGCGATAAGGTCGGCTTAATAGTTTTGCATGACTTAAGAAGTGCAGAGCGGGTTCTGGCTTAAAAGAAGTGCGAATACGAACGTGCGGGAAGCCTGGCTTACGATTGTTCGTACCACTTATCTTCTAAGTCTGAATACTCAATGTGCGATCAGGTCGGCATTACTTCGTCGGTACCACTTAGAAGTATCCGAGTCGAATGCAGATGCAAGATTGACTTGGCTGATAACAACGCATGGCTCGGATCCATATAAACAGGTAAAACTGTACGAAGCAAGACGTACTTGGCTTTTAAGTTGCCGAGCTAAAGTGGATCAGACTTTAGTTTTAGGCAAATCGAGCATTTGGCCATGATGCCGATATGAAAATGAACACAATATTTTCAAAAAATTTCTTTTATTGAATCGAAGTAAAGACTTACAAACCGAAGAAGACTCGAAAAAGTAAAAAATATCAGAACACCCCCCCCCCCCCTTTTTAGGAGGGTGAGCAGTTGCGCCATCCGAAGATAGGCTGTCTATGTACCTCTTTCGGGGATCAAACCGCTTCGGAGTTCATAGGGAATATTCCCTTTTTAAAAAAAAAAAAAAAGTGCCGATCTGAGGAAGATGCCGATCTAACTGTAGTACTGTTTATGGCTTAAGGAGTTCCAAGCCCGCGGGACCAATTTGCCGTCCATTGCTTCGAGCCGGTAAACACCTGGTTCGACCACGTTTGTGATGACATACGGGCTTTCCCAGTTGGCTCCAAGCTTCCATGCATTGTCTTCTTTGGTGTTTTCATAGACCTTTCGAAGGACGAGGTCGCATTTGTCAAAATGCCGGTTATGCACCTTCTTGTTGTAGTATCGAGCTGCCTGATTTTGGTAGTTCTGCATTCGGAGCATGGCTTGATAGCGCGTTTCTTCGAGGGTGTCAAGGTTATCGATCAGCATCACTTAATTCACGTCAAGGAAGTCGGGGAGTAGTCTGCGTCGTAGACTGCCGACGTTGATCTCTGCTGGGACCATGGCTTCGCATCCGTATGCGAGTGAAAAAGGAGCTTTCTCGATTGCTGTTCGTGGAGT